GACCAAGCAACCCCGAGGAACGCCACTGTCAGGAAACAAGACCAAGCTACCCCGAGAAACGCCAATGTAAGGAACAATACCGAGCCACCCCGAGGGACGCCACTGAAAGGAATCAAGGCCAAGCAACCCCGAGGAACGCCACTGTAAGAAAACAAAGCAAACGAGCCCCTAGCAACGCTGGCCAGCGCAGGTCTCGCACCCACAGGCTGTTCAAACACAGATACGCGTACTTTAGGCAAGCTCAACAGGAGAAACATCATATCGTCGGGGATCTTGGGACGGGGCAGCCTGCAGCGGCGTCGCCAAGCTGCGACGTGACGTCGCGCGGCCCGAATTGGCGAGACATCGTTCTCGTCTCGGCCTCGGCTCGGGACCTCCGAGAGGCTGCAAAGGATCACCATGCTTCATGACGTCGTGGATGCCACCACAGGTTTCGTGGGTTACCCTTCTCACCTCTTCCCCTGTCCTCCCTTGCGCCCCCCTTCTCTCCAGGGAGCTCTGGCCTACCCAGTTGGGACACAAGCTGTTGTGGGCAAACGCATTGACCCATTGCATTGTCAACCCTCGGTGTCATCGGCACGTGGCTGTTAAACAGTCACGGACAGGCCGTGCACGCGCTCGACCTACAGATAAATCGCAGAGTTGGCAGGATCCATGTACACCCCAGTCGCCGTGAGCTCCAATCGGAGGCTTCAGAATTCATCCCTGCAGATACGCACATAATTAGCGATAGTTATGTCTGGCGGCATTCTTGGCGATTCACCTTGCGATCTACGTCTCGGCATGCCGCCACCTGTAGATGCTGATCTTGTGCGTGGTGCAACAGATCATGACGTCGGCCGCTTACCCGTCGCAGTACTCAGTATTGTTTGCCACTGCGGTGCTGCAGTACTTCATCAGCCCGAGGCGCAACCTAACCGCCAAGCGCATGGCACCGATCCTCGCGAAGCCCTTCTTCCACATCGTCTCGCTGATCTGGTCAATATAGCTGTACTCCCTGGTCCTCCTACTCCGCTGCCTGGTGCGCCTGCCGTCTCTTGGGATGTTTACGGTACCGACCTTCCTCATGACATACTTCGGAGAAAGGCTTCTCGATGTGAACGCCTTTGCTCTTACGTTGCTCCCATCGTACTTCAGGACCACATCCCAGAAATAATGCACCCAGAAGAAGTATCGCGACAATGTCGAACGAGCATCGCCTCCCAGGGCCCGACACGTGAACACCCTCCCGTTTCGGTACTTTTTTGGGTGCTCGAAGTTCTTTCTGGTTATCAAGGCTACAGTAGGTTGGAACATCATAGCTCTGCTCAAGGTGATGCCACGGCGGGCCCTGGATGTCAGCATGGGTGCGTGGCGGGAGCTGGCGCTGGCTTGCCGAAGGAGCCCCCCGCAGCATCCTTCTGCCACTGGCGGGACCTGGTCGTCGCACTCAACATGTCAGTGTTATGATGTTCCAACCTGCTTTTAGCTTCGACCACCAGGAAGAATTCAGAGCACCAAGAAAGTACCGAAACGGGAGGGTGTTCACGTGTCGGGCCCCGGGAGGCGATACTCGTTCGACGCTGTCGCGATGCTTCTCTGGGTGCTCGAGATTGTCTCTGGGATGTGGCCCTGAAGTACGATGGGAGCAACGCGATGCCAGCGTCGCTCGGGCTGGCGATCCTGCAGCCGCCTGCGACGCCCAGCGCCGGCGACTGGCCGTCCTCGCGAGGCCGATCCTCTGGACCATCGTCGGGTGCCGGCCGCTCCCGACCGCGGGCTCACAGTCGCCGTGGTGCGGGCGGTGCCCCGGGGGCTCACCACAGCGACCTCCAGTGCCCTACAGGAGCCCGGAAGGGGCTCCCTGGGGCCCAGAAAGGGGCACGGCAGGTGCAGCCCCTCCATTAGGCCACGCCCGTCGGAGCTTGGGCCGTGGATCGCCCCCCGTTAAGCCACGCTTGTCTGAGTTTGGGAAGACTGGAGGTCCACGTGTCCAAGGGAGGAGGAGGAGGAGGAGGAGGAGGAGGAGGAGGAGGAGGAGGAGGAGGAGGAGGAGGAGGAGGAGGAGGAGGAGGAGGAGGAGGAGGGGGCGGGGGGGGGGAGCTCCATGGGCCCCGCGCGTGCCCCGCGTGGTCGGCCGGGCCGCAGCCCTGCCCTGCGCCGCCCTGTGGCACGACCTGCACGCGAGCGGCGGGAGGCGGGGTCGGCTTCGGGGAGCGGCGAAGGGCACAAGTCGACTGGGGGATCGACTACGGAATTGATTTACCCCAGAATTGATTTTCACGTCGACTCTTCAACAAAAATACGTCAACCATTCGTAGACCTTCGAAAGTTCTACGAATTGCCCGTGGATTCGACAAGAAAAATCAATTCCGGGGCAAACCAATTCTGTAGTTGATCTCCTACACGATTAAGCATGCGAGCTCGGAGGTCCGCGCGGAGGTCTCGGATCGGCGCTGGGCCCTGGTGTTCCAAATCTGGTTCTCGCGGAATCGCCGCGAGCATGTTCTCCTTCAGTATGCAGCAGCTTCAAGGATGGATGGCGGTTCCTTTTCAAAATGTTGCTCTCTCGAAATAGCGCCTTGCACATTCTTTTCAAAAGCTTGCAGCCGTTTCAAGGATTCGTGTGGTCGAAGTCCCAGGAATTGTGTTCTGGCACGATTTAGGGTTGTCAGGGCTCTACAGTCACGTTAGTTCGCGGTGTTGAACTCAAGGTTCATCCTAAATGAGGACTGCCAGGACGCAGCAGTCATCTTGATCCGCGGCGTTGACGTCCCAGGAACGCTGTTTTGGAGCGATTGAGGATTTCCAGTTGTCTTCTAATGAGCCACTTTGCGCAATGGAGACATAGGCCTGTTGGGATTCAGTTTCGTTTCGTCCTAGACTGCTCCTTGACGGCCTTGGATCTCGAAATTATTCTCCTGGCGCAGGAATTTGCCAAACAACTCCATTTCGATTTGGCTTCAAGAAGTTGCAGAGGATCCGAAAAGCCTAGAAGGAGGATTCGACATCCATTTTGAAGCTTTTCCGTACACTCGGATTGCTTGGACGTTCGGTCATCGAGAAGTCATCACTGCAAGAGTGAGCGACATTTGCGAAACAAGCTGGTACACCAACGAAAACGAAGACACGCCCAAGGGAAAAGGACTTCCGGCAACAGGATACGACACCAGCACCGAGTACATAGACGGTGCGTGCGCTCCCGGTGCTGCCAACCGCGTGTCCGGGTGCACTTCTTCAGCCGCTGGTGCTGGCCAGGCACCCTTCCATCGAGGCGACCCGACTCCACGCGGAGCGACCGCCGCCTGCAGTCGGCATCCTGCGTCGCAGGCGTTGGCGAGCCGGTGCACTTCTTCAGCCGCTGGTGCTGGCCAGGCACCCGCCATCGAGGCGACCCGACTCCACGCGGAGCGACCGCCGCCTGCAGTCGGCACCCTGCGTCGCAGGCGGTGGCGAGCCGGCGGCTCCGCGCCCGGAGCCGGCGCCGCGCGCCCGCCATCGGGCCGGGGCGCAGGGGCCGGGGCGCAGGCCGAGGGCGGCCTCACGCCTCGGGGTCCGGGAGCTCCTCCCGCTTCCCTGGTGCAGTGTCCACCACCACCACCACCTCCAGACTCCCTCGCCCCTGCTCCTCCTCCCTGCTGGCCCTTCCCTTCGCCCGGCACGCCCGAGCCAGGGCCCTCCCGAAGCCCAGAGATGGCCAGTGCAGGCTGCCCAGACTTGGTCCGAGCAGACGGGGTCGAAGGGTGGCACCGAGTCGCCGTTGCGTCGACGATGCGGCGCGATGCGGAGCCCGACTTTCTTCCTCCTGGAGTCGCAGACGCGTCGCCGATGCATTCGTGATGCTGCGCACTACTCCGACCACATCTGCTACGATCCCAGTTGGGCGGCCTCCTGCCAACAACGTCCAGAAACCTCGAGCCGCATCCCCCCCCTCCGGCGCAAGGGCTTCGACCATGAATACCAGAGAGGGCCAATCCAGCGGCCTCGACCATCAAGCCCAAAAAGGATAAAAAAGGGCCAACCCAGGCCGCCCATATTTTGGTGGCGGCCTCCAGCCAAGAGCGCCCAACAGCCTCGTCACCCGCCAAGTGGCCTTCGGACCCTATAGATCGGGGCTCACGCAGCCGACCGGGACGAATCCCGCACCCCCTGGAGCGCTCTCGAGGAGGCGCGACTGACGAGGGCGCCCCGGGCCCCGAGAACCTCCGAAGCCGTGGAACGCCTCCCAGATACAGAGACGTCCGCCGCAGGCCCGGGCCCCGAAGGCCGCCACCGCAGCGCCCGCAAAAAGGTCCCTCGAGCCTCGCCCCCCGCACGCCGCGAGGGCTTCGTGCCGCGCGAGGCGGCCCGCGCCGCCTGGCTGCCCACGGCCAGCCGGCCCGGCGCCGGGCTCCGCGCCGCCAGCAGCGCGCCGCGGCTGGCCGGGCGCGGCGCGGGGGGCGGCGGGCCGGCGGGGGCGGGGGCGGCGGCCGGGCGCTGCCGCTCGCAGCGCCGGCAGCACAAGACGTCCATCTCCAGACCTCCGACGCCGGGCTTTTCGGGGGCGGCAAAGAGGGGGGTGATGACTGGGGGGGGGGGATATCATGGCGGGGGCCATGACATTTCCGCAGATTTCATGGCGCCTCTTCTTACTTCATTACGTCCATGGCCCCCCCGCTGGGCCGCGCACATGCCGCCGGTCATGATTTGCACCCCCCCCTCTTGGACACCCCCCTCTTGGCCGCTCCCGAGCTTTTGTTTGTCGGTCCTGGCCTGCTGTCACAGTTGGAGCCGGTTCGTGATCTTGCCCGCCCTTGTGGGGTCTCCGCGGGGCTTCCCGTCGCCACGGTTGCAGCCCTTTTTCGGCATCCTGGCCAGGACGCACCCAGGAAGAGAGTCGTAGTTAGGATGATTTGTGTTTGAAGGAGAAGAAGGGGCCAGGGCCACCATCAGAATTGGTGTCTTGGGCGAAAAACTGTTTCCAGCGAAGGGGTATCGAGAGCAGGGGGGCCCGCGGACTGGACAAAACGAACCGTCGGGAGTCTGGGCATACTCTTCACCCTCGTGGTCCAGAACGTCGTGCTGGACAGGGGCGACCAAGCGAGGATGGCCGAGATCACGAGGTGCATCGAGGACGCCCTGAGCGAGCACCTGGACCTGGTCGAGCTGGCGCCAGAAGCGCTCACCGCCTCGCTGCGGCCGCACTCGCACCGGGAGGCGTTCCGCGCCGAGTGCGAGGCGTCGTACCCCTCGGGGGGCCAGGCGGAAGCGGCCGCCGCCAGGCTGCGGCCCCCGTCCGGCCTCGCCCAGGCCCCCGCAGGGGGGGCAGCCACACGCCCCCACCGCCGCGCCTGGCTGGGGCCCTGCTGGGCCCCCGGGCGGTGGCGCAGACCTGTCCAGGCCCCCTCGTCGGCCTCGGCCGGGAGGGCGTGTGCACCGCGCCGTGGCCCCAGGAGGACCCGCGGGCAGGCGCGGCGGTGGCGTGCGAGGCACTGCGTCTGCACAAGCTTTGCGTCTACTGCACTGGAGGAGCAAGAGATTGCATGCCCACAAACTTTCGGAGATCCGCGCTGGTTTCTTGCCCCGCTCTGAGAAGTTCGCTCAGACCTGCGACAGTTTACGTTTTATGCCTTTTTTAGTGTTTCTGTTCGCTGCATGCGCCCAGGCGGTGGCCGACCGGGCGCGGCAGGGCCTCGCGCCCCAGCGGCCGGCCGCGCCGCCCGTGGCGGTCAGCGCGCCGCTGCAGCTCCGGGTGGTGCCTACCGGGCTGGTGGAGCGCCTCTACTCGGACCGCGAGGGCCGGGAGCAGCGGCGCGAGGAGCTCGTGCGCAAGGACCGATTAGCGCCTCGGCTGCTGCTGCTGCTGCTGCTGCTGCTGCTGCTGCTGCTGTCGCTGGCTTCCGCTGCAGCCCCTCCGCCCCCTCCCCCTCGTCTTTCTCCTAATTCTCCTCCTTCTCCTCCTCCTCCTCCTCCTCCTCCTCCTCCTCCTCCTCCTCCTCCTTCTCCTCCTCCTCCTCGTCCTCCTCCTCTCCTCCTCCTCCTCCTCCTCCTCCTCCTCCTCCTCCTCCTCCTCCTCCTCCTCCTCCTCCTCCTCCTCCTCCCCCTCCTCCTCCTCCTCCTCCCCCTCCCCCTCCCCCTCCATTTCGTTTCCGTATTAATAACTCCTCCCCGTCGCACCGCGAGGCCAGTTGAAAGGGCGGGCCGGGCGTCTCGCCTGAGATTTCTCTTCAATGTATGACCGTGAAGCTTAAAAGCTGACAATTGTTTAACAGATGGAGGGCGGGCCGTTTTCAAAATGTGGTTCTCGCTTTAGCGCCGCGCACATTCTTTTTGGGAGACTTGCAAGAGTTTAACGGATGGAGGGTGGGCCGTTTTCAAAGTATGGCTCTCGCCTGAGTGCCGCGCATATCCAATTTGGACATTTGCAGGAGTTTCGCGGATTGAGGGCGGGCGGTGTTCAAAATGTGGCTCTCGCCCTAGCGCGGCGCATTTTCGTCTTAGACATTCGCACGAGTTTAACGGATTGAGGGCGGTTCCTTTTCAAAATGTGGTGCTCGCCTTCGCGCCACGCACACTCGTCTTGAACATTTGCAAGAGTTTCATTGATTCCCATGATTAACGTACCAGAAACGGTGTTTTGGAAGCAGCAGTTTTGTTGATTGATGTTGGTTCGTGGTATTGAAGTCCCAGGAATGGTGTTCTGGCATTCTTTAGGATTGTCAAGACGCACCAGTCAAGTTGATTCGTGGCGTTGAAGTTCCGAGAATGGTTTTCTGGCACATTTCAGGATCTCCAAACGGTTGTTTCCCAACGGTGCACTTCCTCAGTGGAAGTGAGTCCTTGTAGGGGCCGATGAAGAGGGAGCTTGGCGGGGGGGGTCATTCCAACATCGTTGATGCGTCTTGGGTTCACACTTGTCCTCCTCCTCCTCCTCCTCCTCCTCCTCCTCCTCTTCCTCCTCCTACTCCTACTCCTACTCCTACTCCTTCTCCTCTTCCTCCTGCGTGCTCGCTGTGTAGGGGTATCCCGTGGTGCAGCACGGATGACGCACCGCCGCGCTGCCAGCTGCCCTGATGCCGACGAGCATCGCGAAGGAGATGGCAGAGATGGTGTGTTGGGGCCCGGCAGCGCGGCCCCAAGGGAAACGGGCGGTGGGGACAGTGAGAGCCTGGTGTGAGAGGGCCGACGGGAGGGGCGCCCACTTTCTTGCGGGCGCCAGAGTGCACATCCCCCACACCAGGCTCCCCGCGTTCCAGTTCCACCCTACCCCCATCGGGGAGGGCCCAGCCTGCCAGCTGCCCCATCGGGAGGGGCCCCAGACAGGCGGCCCCAGGCTCGCTGGTGCTCAACTCTGGCGCGCGCCGAGGTCGCGCTGGCAGTGCCGGCCCAGTCCCCGGCGGGGCAGCTCGGGTCCTGGGGCGCGCCGTGGAAGGGCGCGTCGGGCGTGCCCATCCCTCCCCTTTCTTCGAGAGGTGTGGGCCGTCTTCGGCCAGCTGCGGGTGCGGCAGCCTGGCAGAAGCTCTCTCAGGGAAGGCGTGGCCGTCCAGCTCCTCGTCGTTGAGGCTGGCGTCCAGGCTGGAGTCGCCCCAGTGACAGGCCCGACCAGTTTCTGGAGCCCGACTGGCCCGTCCTCGCGGCTGTCGGCCTTGGCGAGGAGGGAACTCGGCTATCACATCGGCCACCCTGGAGCCCGAGACGTCAGAGTCCTGGTCGGAGTCCGAGCTGGAGTGAGTCCAATGCTGACCTCTGCCAGGATCGCTCTCCTCGAAGCCGCCGCGGGCCGCGGCGAGCCCGCGCTGCCGCCCGCGCAGCCCGCTCCTCTCAGAGCCTCTCCAGGCTGGCGTCGCCGAGCGGCTCGCGGGATGTCTGCTCGGTGCGAGGGCGGGCGCGGCGCCGGCGGTTGCTGACCGAGCGCCAGCCCCTTGCTGCGGGCGCGGCCTGCTCCGCCGCCTCCCGGCGCTCGGCCACCGCGGCTGCACGGCCCCCTCGCCAGGCGCTCGGCGGGGCCCCGCGCGGCATCGCTCGGGCGTGTGCATTTTTTCTTCTCGGCGAAGACCATCGAGGAGCATCGTGGTCCATCTCGCGAAAACGTGCACGCGCGAAATCGAAAAATGCACGGGGAATGGACGTCCGGGCGATGGCCGGCCCGTGGCCCAGCAGCGGCCGGCGCAGAAGGCGGTGACGAAGGCGGGCGGGCCCGCGCGGAGCCCCTGGTCTTTCCTTGGGCTCCTCCGTGGACTTGGGGGCACGACGCCCTCTTGCAGGCACGCACGCGCGGGAGCTTCATGCCCTGGCACTCCCGCACAAAGAGCTTCCTGCTCCGAGCGTGCGCTCCGCCGCCCGCGGCTCTCCCGCCCCTCCCTCGCGCTCTTCCCGCTCCTGTGGGTGCCCGCTGAGGCCCCGCGATGCGCCTCGCTTGCCGAGACCGCGGCCTGGTCCCCAGCCGCTGCGACAAGCCAGCGGCCCCGGGAGCGGGCGCGGGCTGGCGCGCGGTCTCCGCCAGGTGCGCGGCTGCTGCCGCGCTCTGCAGCAGCCGCCGCCGCCGCCGCCGCAGCTCCTCGGCCCGAAGCCTGCGGCGCCGCTGTGCTGCCGAGGCGCGGCAGGCCTCGCGCATCCGCGTGCGGGCGGGGCTTGGCTCGCTGCCGCGGGTCGCCACTCTCGTGTCCTCTTCCTCCTCCCCTCCCCTCCTGCTCCTCCTGCTCCTCCTGCTCCTCCTCCTCCTCCTCCTCCTCCTCCTCGCCCCCGCTCCTCCTCCTCCTCCTCCTCCTCCTCCTCCCCTCCTCCTCCTCCTCCTCCTCCTCCTCCTCCTCCTCCTCCTCCTCCGCCGCTTTCTGCCGTGGCTGGCCCATCTCGTACGCTGACGGGCCAGATTCTTGACGGTAGCCGAGGGCACCATTGTGCTGCTGGCGTGTGGCTATTTCGCATGCGCGGGCATGGCCTGACTCGCTGTGAATGCCGTTCTCGCACCGCCTGCTGCCAGTGTCTGCCATAAAACGCACGCGTGGCAGCCACTGCCTGCCGTTCTCGCATGCTGATGCCCCAGATTCTTGGTTGTAGCCGACGGCGCAGGATTGCCACTGATGCGTGGCGTTCCCGCATGCGCTGGCGGAGCCTACGACGCTGCCACAGCGAGCCTTGTGCGCACTGCTTGCTGCCACTGTTTTGCCCTCCTCGCGCGCGTTGCTGCGAACGCGCGCCTCTCTCACATGATGGTGTCCCAGACTCTTCATTGCAGCTGACGGCATAATCCTGTTGCTTACGCGTGGCTGTCTTGCTCGCTCGAGCGGGATCTGCGTCGTTCGTGCCTTTTTTCTCTCAATGTTCGCTGCCACTGCCTGCCCTTATCGCCTCAATTGCTGTCACTGCTGTCCCTTCTCTTATGCTAGTGTTGCTCCTTCTCCTAGGCTTTGTTGGCCCCGCATGCTTTCCTCGCAAAGCGGCGCTGCCAATGCCTGTAGCACTCTTCTTGACAGCAATGACGTGAAACCTAGATTTGTACTGTGAACATGAAGGAAAGGATGCACATGTTGCCATGTCACCCACACATTTTTGGAGTCGGCGGCGCAGAGGGTCCTCAAGCGCGAGCAACAGATGGTAGTGTTGATCGCGATCGAGCATTGTCGAAGGTGCAGTGTACGAAGCGTCGCACTCTGTAAAGTACAGGCGCTGGGGTTGCTAGCGGAACTGTAGCTCCGAAACGAATCATGTAGCGGCCAAAAAATTGAGCAGGATAGTCAACTCAAAGTGAACAGACGCGCAGTCCACCAGCACACACACACACACACACACACTGCGACTCAGCATGCATGCGTAGCCTTGGTTGGGAAGGGCGAATGTTGCCGCCAAGCTTCGAAACCTGAACTGGATGAGTGGTTGTGCATCTGCTCGCACATAAAAAACGGCGGGGCTCTTCAACTACGTACGCATGGTTCCCTCCACCATGTTCTGCACGTCTACGTCCTGATGATGGAACTCGCGGAGCCCATCGTGGAGCGCGATGGATAGCATTATCCAGTCTTGAAGCTGGATAAGTGGTCCTTCCCTGGCCGCGTATGAAACACAGCAAGTTGCTGTGTCAAGTTTTCTCGATTGGCGTCTGCTCTCCCTGCTTTCGCCTCCTCCTCCTCCTCCTCCTCCCCTTCCTCCTCCCCCTCCTCCTCCTCCTCCTCCTCCTTCTCCTCCTCCTCCTCGTCCTCCTCCTCGTCCTCCGCCTCGTCCTCCTCCTCCTTTTTCTACTTCGCCTCCCCTTCCCCCTCTTCCTCCTCATCCTCGCCCGAGCCTCGCCCTCCTCCTCCTCCTCCTCCTCCTCCTCCTCCTCCTCCTCCTCCTCCTGCCCCAATCTGCCCCACTTCTTCCCCCCTCTCACTCTCCTCCCCCTCATCCATCTCTCCCCCGCCGCCGCCGAGCTGCGCATCCCAAGCCATTGCGGGAAGGGACCCGAGAGGGCGCTCTGCCGGGAGATGGGAGCGGCCCCGGGGGAGGCGCGCGCGCCGTTTTCCCAACGCGGCTCTCTTTGGTTTTTGTTCGGTTGCACGGGTCGGAGGGCGGTGTTCAACCCTCGCCCCCGCGACCAAGCCATGTACGGTAGGTTCGCGTCGTGTCGACCAGCGGCGACCCCGCCAGCGGCATTCAACGTTGAACTCCGCGGGCGACCCAGAATCGGTCGATGTGGAACGATTTGGACGTTTCGGAAACGGCCGATCGTTCAAGGTTGAGCGATCCCCGTGGTCAGAAACCAACGCCGAAGTCGACACGACGCGAACCTGCCGTAACACAGCATGTCTTTTGTGATTGCAATCCGGCGGCCAGCGTGATACGACTTGGGTGCGGAAAACGACGATCAATGCTTCCTCCTTTCGGTGGCCTGAGAAGCCACAGCTGGGGGTATTCGTGTTCGTCGTCCCGCTTGGGTGCTCGCTCGATGTACGGGGCGTGTATGTGTGTATGTGTTTTGTGTGCTTGTGCGTGTGCATACGTATATACAAACACCTATATATATATATATATATATGTATTTCTGTCCTTCCCTCTGCCCCTCTCTATTGCCAGCTCTTCTGTGAGAGGAGGGGGGTGTCCACGATCGAGTTGTTTGCCTGGTCCCTCCTCCGCCAAGGCACTGTTCAACCCCAGGCTTCCAGCGTGTATGTCGTAAATGGTCGCCTCCCATTCCACGGCGAGCGCATCCACAGTCATGCAAAAGTGCCATCGTGAGGGGCGTCAATTTGATCCACTCGGCGCTGCGGAAGAGAGGATGAAGGTGGAACAGACCTTTGAGACCAGCTTGATCGAGGAGGTCACGACAAGTCGATCCGAGGTTCTGGAGTTTCTGGGCTGGCAGTGGCGGCGTGGCTGACGAGCATTTGTGGACGGTTTGATCGATGGCTGCTTGCAACTGTCAAGTCAATCGTTCTGGCTCTGGCATGCCAGCGTTCGCGCCATGGGAACGCACTCAGATGATATTATGGATATGCACGAGAGGGTCGCGAGCCAAATTGAACCGGGAAGCCCACCGCAGGAGGTCGACAAGTTCCAGCAAAAGCCGAGCTTCATGAACGACATCTCGCGGAGCCTTGCCAAAGGCGGCCTTGCCGCTTTTTGGGACCGTCAAGCTTTGCTTGCTCTTGAGCCGAACGTGCCACTGCCCCTGCCAAGTTGGAATTGCCAGTTTGCATGGCGGGGCTTCGCAGGGCTGCAGCAAGACAGTGTGCTCATGTACACGTCGTCACGCGTGCCCTTCTTTTGCCTTATTTGTCTTCGCTGTCTTTGTCGCAGCTTCTACCTGTGCTATCTATTCGTGCGCCATTCCACTCATTCCTGCTCCCGTGTCCTATGATGTCAACGGTCACGGAGCCCAGCGATTTTGACTCAATCGAAGCCGCCCGCGGCGGCACCGCGACGGCCGCACGCGCCACCGCCGCAGCCAGCTCTCGAGGCAGGCGGAGCACCCCCTCCGTGGTGAGTCGGGGCTCGAATGTAAGAAGGAGCAGCTGGGTGGGCATCGCGCCCTAGCGCTGGCAGTGCCAGTCCAGGTCGTCACGACCTGTCCCCGCTTGTGAGGCGGAACCCCGCTCGCGGGCAGCGGCGTTGGGCGATCGCTCCGACGCGCCGTTGCATAGACCGCTGCGGTCGCAGGCGTATCTGCAGTTCCAGCAGGGCCTGGACACGTAGACGAGAACATGACGATCCTTCTCGCGCCACGGGGGTGCGTCATAGCCCCGTCCGCCCGCGGCGGCGACGTGCCCCCCAGCCCCGCACCGACCTCTGCCGGGCCAGGCCGCGCCGCGCCTTCGGCCACACCCGGGGGGCCCTGCGAGGACGCCCGCCGCAGGCACCACGCGCGAGGCACCGAGGAGCGACTCGGCAGGACGACGCGGCAGCCTCTCCGGCCGCGCCGCGGAGGCCGCTGGGGGGTAGGCCAGCCCGCCGTGGGCCGCTGCCCGTCGCGAGGGGCCCGGCAGCGGCACGGGCGCGACCCTTTCCTGGAGGGCCGCGCGGCTTCTCTTGAGGCGGCGCTGGGTCCCCCCTCCCCGCGCCCTGGAGCGCGCCAGGGGCGGCGCAGGAGGCGCTGCGTGTGGGGAGTGGGGTCCGGCGCCGAGCCAGGAAGGCTGCGCGGAGATCCCACGGTGTGAGCCTGTCCCGTCTCGGGCCAGCAGTCCTCGCTCGTCCTCATCCTGGAGCTGCTGCTCGAGAGCTCCTCCCTCCCCCTCCTCCTCTCGGGCAGTACTGCAGGGGTCACCACGAGCGACATCGCCGACCATGCATCCGGTCGACACGTGTGCTCAGCTGTGCTCGGGCCCAGGCAGCGCGGAGGCGTCGGCATGCCTTGCTGCGCAACGCATTGCGCAGCTCCCAAAGCTCCCGGACTGAGCCTTTGGGTGGGGCCGAGCGCCGCGGCTGCGCGCGTGCTCGCGCCCGCACGTCAGAAAACCTCGGGCCCAGGCCGACTGCGCGACCGACTGCGCTCCATTCTGCTCGCGGGCCCGCACTCGGGCCGCGGGCGGCGCGCGGCGCACGTGCGTGCTGGAGGGCGCACTTTCTGTGGCCCATGCCGTGCCCGTTGGACGCTCCCCAGCTGAGTCCGAGTCGACCCAGCCCGGCCTGGCTCCACCCGAGGGGCGTGCGCACACAGAGAGGACGTGCGCGAGTGCATCGTTTCTGGCGCGGGTGAGGCCCGTGCGGCCCGGAGATCTGCGCAGACATTGAGGGGGTTCGCGCGAGCGCGAGCAGTGGGCTCAAGGTGGCTCGGCCCAGCCCAGTCCAGTATGGCCCAGCCCAGGCCAGTGCAGTTTCGCCGAGGCGAGCGTCGTTGAGCCAGAGCCGGCCGCGGCGCAGCAGGGAGGAGAGGCGAGAGGCGAGAGGCGAGAGAGCGCACAGGCGAGACGGGAAGGGCGGAGGGGGAGGCGGGCACGGAGACGGGTGACGGGGGTCGGTGGCTCAAAGATGGGGTCCTGAAGGATGGGGTCCTGAAGGATAGGAGGGGGTCCAAGGGTCAAGTTACATTGTTTGGGGCACCTCGTCCTTAGGACCCCCTCCCTCAGGACCCCATCTTTGAACCACCGAGGGGGAGACGGCGGCCCCGACAAATGCGAAGGGGCCACGACCAGCCGAGCACATGATGTGCCTGACTCGGGGCCCCGCTCCCCCGTCGCACGTTCGAGGCGCGCCGGAGCCTGAACAGCCAGATGGCACGCAACGCGCTGCGTTGAAAGCCGGAAAAACGGCACCGAGGACACCGCAGTCCAAGAGGGGCAGCCGCAATCTTCAGGAACGCACGCAGCGCCCAATGCAAGCGTAAGGAATCGAACCGACTCATGGGCGATACCATCGGTGGGGCGACCACATGCAGTTCACAATGTGGTCAGTCCCAGTGTGACCTACGCAATGGTGCAATGCTCCTACGATGATGCTCTCAGGGACGTTACCTTGCGCGCATAATAATCTTGCAATGGCAACATAGTGTTCCGGGGGCCTACGCCACTCCATTCCGCTGACCCCCAGAAGAGGAGGAATGGGAGGAGGACAACGACAAAGAGGAAGAGCAGGAGGAGGAGGCGGAGGAGGAGGAGGAGCTAGGGAGCCTCTTGGAGGGTCTGCTGCGAAGCTTCTTGGGGGCGTCCTGGGGGCCTTGTGATTGGCCTCTTGGGAGCCTTCTGATGGCTCCGGGGGGCCATTTGACACCCTCTGGGAGGTGTTGAGGGGCTTCCTGGAGGCGCGTCAGGGGTCTTCGGGGCCATCTTGTGGGGGAGGGTTCCCTGGATTCCTTCGAGTTCCCCTTCTTGGGCCTTCTTTGGGGCCGTCTTGAGAGTCTTTTTGGTTGCCTTGGGGGGCCGTCTTTGGGCCCTCTGTGGCCGTCTCTAGGCTTTCTTGGGAGCCTGTTGGGCTGTCTTCCGTCCGTCTGCAGGGCCTCTCAGGCCGTCTTGGGTTTTTCGAAGCTCGAGAAGGCGAGAAAGCGAGAACCTTTCAAAAGTGAAGTGGAAATCGGTGATTTCTGTCTCTTGAGGCCTTTTTCAGGGGGCCTCTTGGGCAGTCTTGAGGCCATCTTGGGTGTTCGCTTGGCATCTAGGGCATCTTTGAGACCACGGAGGGTGGATTTCGAGGCTCCGAGGGCCCCCAAGTACCACTGGTGAGGTCCCGGGATCCCCGCCCCCCCCCCCCCTCCCGTCTAACGCGATGTTGGACCCCAGGAAGGGGGAAAGGGGCAGGGGGAACAGCCGAACGTCTCACATTCTCTTTCGCCCGCGGCAAACAGGGATCTGCAGATCAACGTTCCCCATGGATGCGATACTCTGCGGGGTGAGACTCTGATATGAACCATCCATACGATTTAGAGGATATGATTTCTTTACGTGGAGCGGCACGTCGCTCAGCGGAAAGAGGCACGCATTTTCACAAGTTCGGAATGCCCTCGAGAGAGCCAGGCAGCAAATATCAGGTCATGGCCAGGTTCCCTTTAGCCCGTGCCATTCTATCCATAGCCATTTTGGCTCAGGCACCTCTTGCTGGAGGGCCCTAGTCCAACTCTGCGCACGCTGCCCGCAGGATCTGCTCGGGCACATCACGCAGTTTCTGGGGTGATGGCATCAGTCTCGGCAGCACCGTCCTACCTGCCGCTTGCCCTGGTCGACAAGTGCATCGGCTCTCGAATTTGGGTGATCATGAAGGGCGACAAGGAGCTGGTTGGTACCCTCCGTGGTTTCGACGACTACGTGAACATGGTCATTGACGATGTGCGCGAATACACATTCACGCCCCAGGGCAAGAAGATTACCCATCTCGATTCCATCTTGCTGAATGGAAACAACATCACCATGATGGTGCCTGGAGGAGACCCCGACGAGAATGACATGAAGGTAGATGCGGCCACAAAGTAATGCTGCTGTCTGGGCGCAACGCAGGCTTTACTGGCGGCTGCTTCTGGAAGATCAGGGAGCTCTGAGAAAGGCTGCGGCGGGATCGGATAGCCATGATGCGAAAGGCGTCGTCTCGTAACTGCTGCATCTTTTAGTGGTATCTTCATCGTCGCGTACGAAAAATCGTGGCGGTATCATGCTTTATTCTGTGAATCACCCTTGGAAGCTATCCAGCACTAGCCAGCACGACGCCGCAAGTATTCGCCAGCAGAGTCCCGTCCCGCCGAGTGCGTTGGATTGGAGCGGTCACACGCGCTCGTGCCGTTACCCTTCAAGGTTCAGTGCTTCTTTCCCCTCCCCCGCCCCTCCTCAACGCAGACTCCTGGCGCTGCTCCGTTCCCTCTCCCGCCCTTCCTGCCAGCCCTCCCATATCCGCGGGAGCAGCGCCTGGAGCCGCGCTGGCCTACGCTGGGCGTGGGGCCGCCCAGAGAGCCTCGGGAAAGCGGGCCCGGTGCACGCAGCACGGAGCCCTACCAGACAGGAGTGAGCCAGCAGTCGATCATGCCTCAACGTGCCAGGGGGCACGGTGGCGGATTTTCAGATCATTGAATCGTTTATCGCAGGCAATGGCTGTCCATAAGCAGGGACGTTACAATCTTCCACCCCCTCGTCGATCCCTCGACCTCCTCGTCGAACGCCTCGACCTCCAAATCTGGAGACCGGATCGGAGTGATCTTGTGATCGCTCTGGACAGAGATTCGGCGTGAGGAGAAGGAGGTGGGGAGTGAGTGGCAGGGGGGGTTGGAGGGGGCGTTAGAGCAAGGGGAGGAGGAGGATGAGGAGGTGGAGGAGACTCTCCCCTGATGATGCTGCTGCCCTTTACCTCGTCGTCTCACCACCATGTGCCGCCTTCTGGGGTTCCAGCGGAGTTGATGCCACTGGCATTGCCAAGTTTGCCATCATCGAAATGGCTACTGCGGCTACTGCCTCTTGCGCGTTGCCCACCCGCCCCTTGGAGCTGGAGCGAGCACCCCTCAGAGTGCACGGCGACAAGGCAGTGGAGAGGTCATCCTCAGGAGGACGAGGCGCAGCACCGCCATGCCGCGACGCCGCGCGAGCACCCGTCGTTGGTGACTACGTCGATGCCGCTGCCCTTGTCCTCCGCCTGGCGACCCCGGTGGCGGCCTTGGCTACAGGAGGCCGCCGGGGCCGGCCGAGCTCGAGCCCAC